CCCGGCTATACCAAGCCAAGAAAGTGTTGGTGGTAAAGCGTTGGTGGTAAATATACCTTTTAAATGTAGCCGTTGGTGGTAAATTAAACTTGTATTTGAAAAAATGTTAAACGTATATTACAAAAAGAGCTTTGCTTTGGTAGACCCCCCTCACAAACCGTATAAAGGCAGTATTGTCATTTGTTCATAAGGTATAGTTATACGATATGTACAAGAGGTACATAGCAGATCGGCCGCCCCTCACACACCTCCGTCCTGGGCCTGGCCCATTATTCTTTTACTTCTTTTAACCTTCAAAAATTTGTTGTGAGAGGTAGGATTCGATCCACCAACCTCTTAGTTTTCATTCACCACCATAACCAACTAAGACAATCCACTTGCTGTGTCTAGTTTAGTTTTCTTTTTTGAAAAAAATCAAATTAGGGACGCAGCACGCCTTCCATCCCGTGCGGCCGCTGCGCGATGGACCAAGTAGTGCTTGTCCCGTAACTGCCGCACGCATAGGAGTTTTATAGCACCACAACTGCGGGCATGTTGGGGCTGTGTTACAGCTATACACAACGGAGCTAAACTACTAGTACTCTGTTATATTTTACTTTCGAACAATCAAATTGGCCATGCATTCACTACAGGATAATGAAGAATTTCTTTCTCATGCTACAGTGACCGGTGGTAGCTGACCACTTGGCATGAGCGGTAAGCTATATCAAAAACAATGAACAAAAAAATGACCGGTGGTAGGTGTTAGTACATGTTTCTTTTATCAAGCTTCATACTAGCTTAACACAATTAAACATGTAGGCAGGTCCAACAAATAATTATGGCAATTGGATGCTCTTATATGACCAATTAAAGGCCCCATACCATGTTGTTTTTGTTATCGACAATTTTTGTATTTTCTGGAGATTTCTCGATAAAAGGGCCGATAAATGGCCAGACGTGTCGCAACTTGCATACTTTGTCGGAAATCGTTCAAATATGACATGGATGCCTACCATGGGAATGCCCACTGCTTGCAAAAAAGTTCATGGATTTGAAAACAAAGTTTGTAAATTTAAGAAATATTCACAAATTTGAAAAGTTCATGATTTAGAAATAGTTCATTGATTTGAATAAAGAAAATAAAATGAAGTAAAGATAAAAAATAGAAGGAAAACTGGACAAACAATAACGAAAAAGTAAAACAACAAATTTTAAAAATTGCTTATGTTTCGAAAGATGTTTGGAAAATATTCATGTTTTGAAATTTTGTTCAAATTTCAAAAAATATTAGGTCAAATTCCGTTCATAAATTCAATAAATATTCGGCATTTCAAAATTGATCACATTTTTTTCAATTAGAGTTTCAAACTTTTTTCAGAAAATATTTCTTATATGTGAACACTGTTGTGTCTTCTTATATATCTCGCACTACAAAATAATACAAGCGGCTGTGTGGGGAACTGGCTAGCAGCATAGGGCTCTAATTGTGAGGTCTTGAGTTCAATTTTTCAAGTGTCCTTTTTTCTTAATATTTTATCCTTTTTTCTTAATATTTTTACGTTCCTTATATTGGACGTGGCTTAATGGGCCGGCCCGTGCAATTTGTATACGAAGTCTCACGACGTACTTTTAAAAAGGACAATCTTACCCTTAATTATGAAGGGGTATGGAATAATCTGAGCCATCGATGTGTTTAAGGGGGGTCTACCGAAGCAAAAGTGTTACAAAAAATATCTTGACGTACACATAAATGTAGAATGAAAACCGAAAGAAACAAAGAAAAAATAAAAAAACAATGAAAACCATAAAGGAAACAAAAAACGAAAGAAAAAACCCGAAGAAACAAGTGCAAAAACAATGGAAAAGGTAAAGACTGATCGAGAAACAACGAATAACAAAAAAACATTGCAAACCAGGAAATAAACAAAAAACAGAAGAACATAAGAAGGAAAATGAGAGAAAAAAACCCAATGAAAAGCATAATGAAAAAAACACATAAAAATAAAGAATCCTAAGAAAAACGGTGAAAAAGAAAGAGAAATAAATAAATACAAAGAAAATCAAGGAAAATGGAAGAAAAATGTTTGACAGCAGTACCAAAGAACGTTGCCAGGCAACAGAAACTACCACTGACTGATGAACAAAATGTTCATATCACACAACAAAATGTGGAAGAAGACGACATGGATTGGCATTGTTGCAGAGCTTCTTCCAGGATTGCGCACCGCCAAGTAAGCTGAGCTCCGTTTTCTTCCTTGCAGCTAGGAAACCATCAGGTCAGGGAAAACTGTATTTACCTTAAATAACCCAACCCACAGCTGATCTCTTGTCTTCGATCCAAAGCAGGACACAACTCATATATAGCAGTGGTAACAAGTGCATCACCTGATAACAATCACAGAAGAGTCAGTCAGTCAGAGGAGTGAATGAAACCGCTGTATCTTTCCAAACACTGCCTCTTAATTTAGAATAAGTATGAAAGGCACACAGCGATTTTTCTTTGACAGACTTTAGACGAAAGAGCATGCACACATATATAGTACCCAAATTCGACAGAGTCACAAGGACTTGAACCCTGAGTGGTGGAAAGCAAAGCAACATAGCGTATATTAATACGAGCAAAATAGAAACTACACGATTAGTTTACTTGTTTCCTAGCAGGTACGGGACATGTAGTTGAGTATTTCTATTTCTAGTACAGGTGATGAAGATGCACATGAACATGAAGAAAGAAATCACATTAAGTAGCTTTAACAGACAAGCTCGTACCAAATTCACGTCAGCCATTATATAATATATGAACAAAAGACAAAACAGTGAACCTTAACCTTGGAAATAGCGCTGATCACCTAATCCTTCCCCAAGATCCTCTTCGACTTACTACAGCATTCCTTATGTGGCTAATCTTCATCACATCTTCGTTACATTCATCTGAATCTCTCTTCTCCTGGAGCTTCTCTATCAGATCTTCTGATGCATCCTCCAGATGCAATTTCTCAAGGGCTGCAAGGTGTTCGATGCCATCAGGAAGAAACTTTAGCTCAGGACAGCTTATGAACGTAGCTCAATGAGCTTTTGCGTCGTGCCGGTTGTAGTGGCAGCATAGACTTGATGCAAACCAGTCTTGTTGAATGCCACCTGTACGTGCGACAAGGGGCGCCATGTGGAAGTTGCGGTAACACTGACGTAGGCCATGTCTGAAGGACGTGTGGACACCGTCAGTACTCCAGCAATGCTGACATTGTCCACCCTGAGACTGAAGCTGCTATTTTTGTTGTCCACTGCTTTGTACTAGTGGCAAGTGGCAGCTCCTGTCACAAACTGCTTTCCTGACCATGAACGTGCTATTAGGAAAAAAAGTTCAGCTAAATTTAAATTATAGAATTGCTTATTTATTTATTACTATTAGAATTTAAATTCCGACCCACAAAAAAAGGTTTGAACCACTTGAGGCCATGTCCTAGCAAGGATTTCCCCGTGTGATGGGAAAGGTGAGGGAAAGAGAAAATATTGCTTGCTGGAAAAACAAATCTTTGCTTGGACAACTTTGTGTTCCTTTTCTTAGAAAAAAACAGAGGAGCTTTGCATTATGGATGGACAGTCGATCGAAATCACTGAAAGCTAACTTACATACATTCCGATTCCAGTCCGACAAATAATTCCAAAAGAAAATTTTAACAGCGTTTTAGTTTACAGGTACATAATTCCAGATCGGGTTTCAAGCAGCATATGGCCATGCTCTCATGAACAAAGTTGCACCATGCATGCATGCCTGCTGAATATTGCAGAGCAATGGTTACAGCTTATATAGATTAATTACAAGTGGCGACGGCAGTACACAGACGGAAAAGTTTGAAAGATGGATCAGCGAAGAATCCGTCGCATCAGGTGCAGGCATCGAAGTTCGATTACGGTATGAAAAC